CCAGGTTCCCCACAGCAGCCTGAGGGATTGCCCACCGCACCTCCTTCTGCAGTTTGGGGAAGATCAGCTGGTCAAGAATGTTATCCAGGATCCATATCGGAATGATGTGCCTCCAGCTGTCGAGGAAGTCCACAATCGGGATGCAGTTGCGGGGCTGCCACTGGGCCACAATGTTTCGCACGTACGGCATCCACGTTTCCCACATCAACCTGAGGATCCCAAGCGAGCAGTTCAAGGCCCAAACCAGCCCATTTAAAGGCTCTTCTGGGGAAGAGCCCGTCTGCCCTTCCCTGCTGGAGGCTCACCTGTGAAAGGCATCTGAGCCGAGGTCCTGTGCGCTGTGGGAGAGCAACCGATCGTTCTCCAGCAAGGCTTTCCATTTGGCCAGGATCTCCGTGCCGGCTGTGCAGTCCTGCAGAGAAAAGGGGAGAGATATGGCCCTAATCCCAAGCCTGGTGAGAGGCGCATTCATCCCCAAGCCTTCAGAAGCTCCTTTGGAGCTGCACTCGGAAGCCCACGGAAGCCCCACCTTGAGGGGATCCCAGTTCCTGAAGTAGTCCTTGACCAGAGGGAAGACGATGGCCACGGCCAGGTCCACGCGGTCTGACATCTGGTACTCTTCATAGTACTTATCCTGGAGGGTCTCAAATATCTTGACGCACTCAGGCAGAGTCAGGGGGTCTTCGCAGTTGGGCTGCATCCGCCTTTCGCACTCTTCCACCAGCTCCAGCACCTCGCCGAGGTTGCGGATGTCGGTCTCCTCCCGCAAGAGCACCGTCTCCATCTTCTCGATCTCGTGGCTCAGGTTAACCACCATGTCTCGCTCGTACTGCAGCTGCCGGTCATTCTGGATGATCTCCTGCTCTGTCAGGTCAATCAGCAGCTGCAGGTTGTGCTCCAGCTCCGGCAGGGAGAAGCTCTGCGTCTTGGTCTCCTTGCCCAAGGCAGGCAGCTGCTGCTGGGGACCGTCCTCTGGGATGTTGTGCTTCTGGCTGATCTGACTGTAGCTGTAGTAAACCTTCTGCTCCCGGCCCGTCATGTCAATCACCTTCCAAAAGAGAAACCGCACGGAGTGAGGAGGCAGAGGGGCACAGTGGAGGAGGACTGCCAACTCAGAGTCACCTTGTAGGGAAGACGGGGGTGGCATAAATGTGTAACAAACAAACTTAGGCTGCTGCTGTTGCTGACATCCATTCCACAGCCAAAGCCCCAGGCAGGCAGCTGGAGATGTACTAAGGGCTGCAAGCTCAGTCTATGGCAGAACTTTCATTGCTGTCTTTCCTGGATGGAGCAGGACCGCTTAGCCCCCCTCTTCCTCCCCCCCCCCGCCCATCTTGCTGCCACCTCACCTTGACCTGTGTCAGCTCCTTCTGAGGGGCAGACAGCTGCTTGCCCGCCCTGCCCTTGGCTTTCAGCTCTTCCACCGTCTTGTAGGTATACTTGGGCTTTTTCTTGCCCCCGCTAGGGTCCTTCCGCCACTGGCTGAGTTCCTTTTGAAATTCCTGGGGGGAGAGGAGAGATGTCAAAAACAGAGGCAGGCAGTGCGCAATCCACAAGGCACCCATTTTTTACTGAGATCAAGCAGGAGGTTGCATGGGGGAGGGGCTGCTGTTCCCCCAAAGAGGTGGGAAGCGACAGAAGGTATTCCTAGCAGCCGGTCTCTTGCAGAGAGGCAGACTGGAGCTCCCAGACCTGCAGGCGTAACATCAAGCCATGCCAACCGTGCCTCAGGTCTGAAACTTCTGGCGTGAACCACTCGGACGCAGAAAAAACAATTTACCATATAGGAAGACATTCGAGAGATTTCCTTGTTTTGCTACAAAGCCGGGGGTGGGGGAGAGCCTTCTCCTACACCAGCTCTAATTGGAGAAGGGGAACATGGGGTCGTACCTCCTCCTCCTCTTCATCAGAGTCAACAATGGGGAAATCTTGCAAGGACTGTGTGGTTCGCTCCGAGCCGTATGCCCCAATCGCTGCCTTGCCTTTTCTCTGCTTGGCCTCAATGGGGTTGATGATACCTAGGAAAGTTCTTCAGGGTTAGCGAAACAGAGAGCTCCCTGCAGACACCAACGGAACAACGGCTTGCCTCCCAGAGTTGTGAGGCTCCATCATTGAAGGTCTTCAAGAAAACATTGGGCAACTGCCTGTCTGGGATGGTATAAGGTCTCCTGCCTTGGGCAGCGGATTGGACTAGAAGACCTCCCAGGCCCCCTCCAGCCCTACCCCTTGAACTTTATAAATCACTAATTTGGGGCGACCATGGATAAGAAGGTGGTTTTCAGAGAAGCTGTAATGCAAAAAAGGGAGTAAGGCAAAGGAGGGCTTGAGGGAGAGCCGGCCTACCTTGGGCGTTCTTCCCCAGGCCTCGGCCAGGCACGTAGCCCATCTTCTGCAGGAGCTTCTGCCCGATGCCCTTGGTGTGCCTCTCCCAGCTGCCAAAGTCCACGAAGGACTTGCTGCCGCCCACGAAGCCCTTCTGGCTGGGCTTGAAGTTGCCGCCCTGCGTCGGTTCAGAAGAGAGGACGGGAAGGATGAGCACCGGGGGGGGGGGAAGCGGAGGGGGGGAGGGGGGCGCCCCGGCCTCGCTCACCGTCTTCAGCTTCTTCGGCACCGCCGCCTCCTTGGGGGGCTCCTCCGCCCGCGCCCCGCTCTCCCCGTCCTCATCCTCCTCATCCTCCTCCGAGTCCTCGCCGGGGCCTTCCTCCTCCTCCAACGCCGCCGCCGCCGCCCCCTTCTTCAGCCCGGCGCTGATGAAGCTCACCGGGGCGGAGTAGTCCCGGGACCTGGGTGGGGGGGGGGAAGGAAGGAAGGAAGGAAGGGCGGGAGGGCTTTTAGGACGGGGGGGGCCCAGCCCCCCCCCTCCTCCCGGCCCCGCCCGCGCACCTCTTCCCGCCGAAGCTGGGCCTCTCCTCGTCCGAGTCGCGCTCGGCCCACAGGCCGTAGATGGCCTCCTCCTTGGTCTGCCGGTGCCGGTGCCGGTTGGGGTTGAACTCGTTCTGCAGATCCCACTCGCTGATCTCGAACCTCTCCATCTCCACGCCCTCGTCCTCCTCCTCCGCGCCCGCCTCGCCGCCGCGCCCGTACAGGTGAGAGAGCGACATGACGCCCGCGGGGGGGGGGAGGAGACCGAGAGGCACCGGAACGACCGAGCGGAACCGCCGCAGCCCGCTTCCGGCCCCCACCTCCTCCTCCTCCTCCGGCGCCCAGGGGAGTCGCTGCGCCTGCGCGGGAGGTGGCCGCTCTCTCTCCCCGTCTCGGTGGCGCGGCGGAAGCCTGCGCGTGCGCAGAGCGGCGGTTCTGCTGGCGTTTGGGGGGGGGGGAGACCGCCGAGCTTTAAGCCGATTCACGGAGGAGTCTTGCAATTGCCAAGAAGGCGGCCAGACCCCCCCGCCTCCCCCCCCCAGCTCGGTCTCGCTCCCCCTCCTTGCAACGGTGCAGGTTAATCGATGTCTGGTTTTTGCCACACTTGGAGGAAACAGTGGCTGCGCAAATCAGCCGTCCAAAAAGCCGCCACCCTGACAGGCCTTGGAGCGCCTTTCAAGAAAAGCGGCTCCCTTTTCCTCCCACCAGCCGACAGGAGGCTCCCCCGGAATCCAGCTGCGGCTCTGCGTCGCCCTTGCCCGAGCTCTGGGCTTGTTCACCAGGCCGGCCTTCCGTGGGCCACCGCAGACTCTGGGGCCCGCTTGGAAGCGTGACTGAGCAAAGCAGCGTTTGCTGGCTGGGGTTCTGAGCTGGGCAGTCCCACTTGGGGTGCAAAGAGATCACACGTTTCCTGTTCTGTATCTGCGTGCCAAGAAAACAAATGGGAACATCCCCCCCCCCCCATTCTAGGGACTACCAATAGTTACGACCGATATTTTAAAAGCTCTCAGTTAAAACAGGATTTAACCATTCTCTCACAAGAATAAAATCTGAAAGAGGCAATCTCTTATATATATATATATATATATTTCAGAATGAATAAATAAATCTCTTTAATTTGGTAAATTACCGAGAAGAGAGAATTAAAAGAGACAAGTGTCAGTAAGACCGAAAACGCTCTAAAGAGGATCTGCAAAGAGAGCTAGTTGAGGTCTGCAAATTAGAGAACAAAAATTACAAGATGGTTTTACACAGAGCCTGAAAAACTTGTTCCGCAGACAAGTATAAAATCTTCTCCAATATTCTTTATGGTTCCCTTTTTATTTCTACATATATGACTGCAGAGCATGTCCAAACTTGGTACGTGACTTATTTCCCGGAACTGGAAAGTCCAAACTTGACAAATTAATGACAAAATGAAAAGTATTTCACAGATAGCACTTGATTTGGCAATATCAGTAGCAAGCAATATGCTTGGATAACAGATTCCCACTCTTGTTGTTTGCAAATTTTCTTCTCTTCAGAACAAGGGGAAGCAATTTGCACCTAAAAGAGAGCAACAAGGAGAAAGCAGAATTACTCCGGGACACAGTCTTCAAACGAGGCAGACCAGGGTCTCCTTCTATGGTGGGAATCCAGGGCCGAGAGGACGACACCCCGGAGAGCCACCCTCCCAGCATCAGGATGGCTCCTGTGCAGCCCCACCTGAGTTGGAGACATGCTCTGCTGGGACACGCCAAGACGTACCTGGAAATCATTGAGTTGGTCAGTGAAAAGCAGTCGTATTTGGAGTCCCCTGCAAAGATCAAACAGAGAGGAAGAGTCAGCGGCTTCTGAGCTGGGCAGTTCCACTTTTACACTGGTTGTCTGAGGTTTCTAGCTTTCCCAGCAGGTCCAGATAGGAGCAAAGTTAGTCAAAATATTTTAAGGGATACATAACTATTGGATTAGTTATTCCCGGCTGCAAGAAATTCGTATATCAAATCTCAAAGCGATTTAAGCTGTAGGAATTATGCCTCTGAGGAGATGCCTTCGCAACAGTCGGAAAAGAATGACAGGGCAAAGCCACCCAGAAGAGAAGGCGACGCTGCCTGACAGGATCCTCTCAATGGAAGGTTGAGAGGGGAGCACTCCTACTTTGGTGTCCTCCTAGCCCCCTCCCTTGGAAACTACCCAGCCCCAGAAATAAAAGGCATTTGGGGAGGGGATGCTGGTGGACCCCAAAGGACTGTGCCTGGCTGAATTAGGATCATTTCTGCAGCCTGGGAGAAGAGGAGGACAGAGGCGAAGGAGCTGACCTGAAGGTGTCCCTTCAGATTGGCAGGTGTTTTGAAGTCTCCATTCAGGACCTGGAAAAGAGGAGCACAGAGTCAGCCGGGTCAGCAGGATTGGGCCCTGCAGCCCTTTGCTCAGCCAGGCAGTCAGCCTCTCACCGTTGAAAAGGTGGGCTTGCCCGCCCCCCTTTCAGTGAGGAAAAGCCTGTCTCTAGTTCTGAGCTAGTAGGGCGGCAGGGAGGGGCTTATAAAAATCCGGATTGTGTATGGAAAGCCCCTTTCCTGAGGCCAAAGGGACGAAGATGCCAATCAGGCCAGGAGACCCAGCCCAGCCAGGGACTCTGCGGCACTCACCCGGTGGGTGTTGTTGATCACCAGGGGGTCTGGGCTGCCGTAGTTGGGAGGGTTTGCGTAGGGGTCATAGCCCAGCCTGGCCAGCATGGGGGCAATCTGAGCCATGTCCTGCACCACGTCTTCCGGAATGTGTCCCAGCCACTTGGTCAAGGCCTCCATGTTCACAGGCTTGATCACTTGGTCTGTGGATCGCTCGATCCTGTGCAGAGACCAGAAACATCTGTGTGTTGCGCTTGGCTTTCCTTCAGGTCAAGTACAGCCTGAGGACTTGCAAGCTAAATCTGAAAGAACTTGGGAGGTGGAACTACAGAACTGTCTCCCCCTGAAAAGCCTGAAATTTTTTTGGAGGGCCACCCTGGTCATGCACCCCAGACCTTCAAGGGAATTCCAGCCCCTGAATTAGAACTGCCCCCGACCCGACCACGGGGTGATCCCTGACCGGCCCCTCACTTGGACAGGGAGACGCCGCCTGGCTTCCCAATCAGCTCCTCATGGTGCAGGACAGCGTCGCTCCAGGCGATGTCCAGGAAGTCCATGATGGCCCGCATGGACTTCTGGGGGTGCAGAACCAGCTGCTCGTAGTAGACGGGGAGGCAGCGCAGCCGCCCGATGGCCAGGCACTGGGAGTGCATCACCTCGATCGCTTTGTTCCACTTGGTCAGGCAATCCCGGTAGCTCCGCAGGTCGAAGCCGGCAATGGTGACCTTCCTGGTGATCATGGAGTGGACGGAAGCCCGCCCGTCACGCACCATCAGCAGGAATTTGGAGTTGGGGAAGAGGTGGGAGAGGTAAATGGAGGACTTGAGCGTGAAGGGGTCCTTGTTGCAGAGGTAGCGGGCTGGCTCCCCGTGCTTGGCGATCACCTCCAGGATGAAGGCCTGCATGGCCGCATCCAGCACCTGGTCTGTTACTCCGGCTTCGTCCAGGCGCATCTTTTCTCGCCCAGATCGGGACCAGGCTTGGCGCATGGCCAGCACCCGTGGGATGATGCGCGTCTCCTCCCCGCAGCGCACCTCCGGGTGAGCGTCCAGCATGGCTCGCATCAGGGTGGTCCCGCTCCGAGGAACCCCCCCGATGAAGATGAGCGGCATCTCCTTACTGTATCGATACTCGACTCGGTTGGCGTCGAGCATCACCAGCTCCTCGCTCTCGGGACGCATCAGTGCCCGGCTGAAGCCCTGGCCCAGGATCTGCTGGCACTGCAGCATCTGCTGGCCCAGGTGGACAGAGACCATCAGGGCGATGGCAAAGCCCACCACCATCAGCACTCGTCTCACGGTCAGCCGCATCCTCGCCTCCTCCACATGGGACCAGCGGTCGCGCCACCGTCAACATCTGGATGCTGCTGGGACAGTAACGGAAAGATCTTTCATCATCTGACTTCCCTCTTGGCGGGCAGAGCCCACCCAGGGAAGGGTCCACCCTGTGGATGGAGCCCCCCCATCTGCCTCCATGAAGGAGAGCATCGGGGAGCTCCACAGTCTTGCCCCCCCCCCGCTGCTCTTCAGCAAGGCTTCCTTGAAAAGGGTCTCTTGGCAGGATTGCTGGGGAGGGCAGATCCCAGCCTCAGGACTGACACAGCAAGGACGTTTCGCCCAATTTTGCTAGGCCTCCACCTGCCCTCCTTCCCTTCCCGCTGCTCTTCCATGCCTCCATTAACAGTTCCTTGCAGCTTTTGAAGGTGATGAAATATTAATGGCACAAAACACGGGCCAGAGTGGTGGTGTGGGTGTGTGTGTGTGTGGAATTGCAAGCGGGGCCATCAAATATTCATCCACCGGGGCCAAGAGACATCAGGGGAGTCTATGGTGACAAGGGGCTCACCTTCCCTGGTGGAGTTCATTTTCCTGCTCGCTCGTTGCTCCCTCTCAGCACAACCAGGAACCCCCAAAGTCAGGGAAGTCCAGCCTGGGGAAGGGAAGCACAGAGTCAGTTGGATGCTTTGCAGGGGCCGCATCCTGCAGTGGAGCTCCCTGGCTTGGGCCCCTCCTGCCTCCTGCAGTGGCCCCGGACGGCTTCCTCCCGTGCAGAAGCCGCACCTGATGCTGCTGGGCGCCCTGTGGGATCAGCTGGGCTTAAGGCTGCATTCCAGGCCAAGCTGGAAGAGCATCAACGCAGCCGCCTGTTTCGGGGACAAAGAATGAGCCTGTTGCCATGACAACAGACAGGCGGCCATGCTCCACCAAGCCAGGCAGCTGGAGAGCCTCAGAGAGACGCCTCCCCCCTCTCAAGGCCAGGTACACACACAATGAGCACGCATGCACACGTCCACGTCCACGGACACACGTTGGGTGGCCTAGATAAAAGGCTGCTCAAGCCCACAGAAGGCGGCTGCTCTTTAATTTGCTGCATTAGGTAAACAGGAAACTTCTGTCGCACAGAATCCAAGGGACTCTGCTGTTCGGCCGCATTTTCAGAAGAGGCCAAAGGTGCCACCTGCATCATGGGCGGGGGGGGGCTGAAGGGGGAGAGGGGTTTTTTTTTAGGTTTGCCAACCCATTGGCTTCATGGTCACATGTATCACTCAAAACGTTAACATCACTTTGCAACATTTAAGGAATCAAGCAATACACCAGCACGTCAGGGAGTAAAAGACAATTTTATCCAGTGTTTGAAGTGGAAGTATATTGAAAAAAATAGAAGGGTGGGCAGAAGTGTGCTTATTGGTCGAATTCTAACTTTGAGCAACCGGCACCCACTGGTTGTTTCTGACTCTCAGACCAGCCAGCTGAAAGTCCAGCTTGTGCTCGGACTCCCAGGCTCCCTGGGACAAGCGCACCCTCCATAAAGGCTGTCCAGGGAAGACAGCCAAAGCCAAACGAGAAGGATCGGCTTGCAATTCTACCAGTCTGGGACCCTGGTGGCGCCCCTCAAGTGCTGCAGCACCCGTTTCCTGAAGGCCGCACAAAGAGTGCCAGCTGCAGTGCCTGGACCGACTCTGCCCACAAAAGGAAAACCTGGGATGCTTTGGAAACTGCCTCCTACCAGGATGGGCCCTCCCGTCCCCGTCCCTCCGTGCCTCTGGCAGGAGAAGCCCGGAGGGAGCGTCACTCGGCAAAGGCCACCAACTTTGGCCCTTGCTGGGCAGGCAGGCTGCCTTCATTGGGTGACTCTGGGAGCAGCTCAGCTCTTACTGTGGCAAAGGCCACCAGGAGATTCCTGCTCTCGCTTCCAGCAAAAAGAAAGGCCCTCTCATGGATCAGGATTCTGGAACCATCGAGCTAGTTGCTAAGGGACTGTGAGCCACACAGCCGGATGCACCACTGAGATTCAGGCCTGCGGTTTCTCAGCCATCCACGCCTGCCAAAAGGCCCCGGGAGCTCTCGGGGTGTCAAGGAGGGCATTTCAGTTTGCTCTTAAGTGCCGGAAGGAGCCTCTGCATGGCAAAGACTGGCGCGGATGGGGGAGAAAGTGCTTTGAAATGTGGGCTCCAGGGCACACCCTCCCCCCCCCATCCAAGCCTGGAGGGAGTCTGGGGTTCCGGTCTCTCTGTGTCCAAGTCTTGCAAAATGAATACAAATGCCTAAACCATGGTCATGTGGGAGAACCACGGCCTGTGGTGGGAGGGAGTTCCAGGCACAGCCGTGTTTACTAAACAGTGCCCACTCAGCTGAGGAGCTTCCCGCCCAGGGGCAGGGAAGGAAAGCTCAAGGAGGCAAGCAGATGCGGCTCTGCCGGGGAGCCCTGCCCTCCCCACTTGGCTCTCTCGAAGGGTGGAGAGGGGCTCAGGAGGAGGCTGGGGGGGCAGCCCTGGAGAGCCCCCAGAGAAGAAGAGGCGAGGAGGAGGAGGAGGAGGACTCGAGAACGGTTCAGGCTCTCCCTCTGCCTGCAACAGGAAATCAAGAGCTACAGGCCTGGAGCAGCTGAGGAAGAGATAAAATTGGTTTCCTGTGCCACTTACGAAACCACACTTGTGGGCTTTGGTCTTCAGTTTGACTCAGCGTTTCCTAAAACAGAGCACTTCTCCTGCCAGGGGCCTCCCAGTGGGGCTCTCGGCGGCGGCTGCTTTCAAGGATGCCGAAGGGGGGCAGTCAGCCTGGGGAGCACTTCTGCATCTTAGCACCCGTGGCTGGAGTGAGCGCAAAAGTCTCATCTACTCCCGAAGGACTGAAGCCCCTCCAAGGTCTGGGCTGAAGCCCATCTCTAGTGTGGATCAACTGCAAGGCCTGGGCAACCTTTTGACCTGTTGTTTATAAAGGACAAAAACGTTTCTAGACACCAAAGAAACATAATTTTCCTTCAAGGTTGCCTGTCATTTTTCTCCAGCGGTGCTGCAGCGACAAACCATTTACCGTGCGGGTGTTGTGTAGGTTGTTCAAAAGCAGCTTAGGGACATTTACAGACATGAGCGGATGTACGCACATATGTGCACACGCACACACGCACGCACACACAAATACCCAAAGAGGAAAGAGAGAAGGTGGAGGGCGGAGGAGGCTACCCAGTTGGGCTGTTTTGGAGGCAAATGGGATTTTCCGGCAATGGGGGAAAAAAAGACTCAGAACAGCAGTGGGTGGGTGGGTGGGTGGGTGAGTGGTAGTGGAAACCGGGAGGAGACCCAGAGGGACCCGCCCTCTTGCCCAAAGGCAAAGCAACTCCTGGGGTCTGCTGTGCTGGCCAGGGGGTGGCAGCAGAGAAGAAGAGCGGGAAAACCTGGCCCCCAACTCCCCACACCCTGCAAGCCAAAGCGCCTCGCTGAGCTAAAGTCAGCAGGGAAGGGGGTGGGTGGGTGGAAAGGCCGCTCCGTCCCGATGTCCAAAACCGGCTTCCGGACCTCTCCTTTTAAGCAAACCATGCCCCGGTTGGTGGGGAGAGGGGATATTTGTCCTGCGGACGGGGGACCTACCGAAGGAAGCCTCCAGCGCCAGGAGCACCGTATCTCAGGACCCCTCTGGGTTCATTCCAGACAGAGGAGCGCTGTCCTTTCGGAAGAAGAACTGGAGATTGGGGGTCGAGCTGGAAAGCGCACGGAAGCTGCAGCCGGGTCCAGCCAGGCGCTGCCCAAGCGGCCTTCGCGGCGGCCAGGGGGCGACGAGGCTGGGAAGCCAGCAGTGTCGGGGAGGCACCCGAGGCCCAGCGGGGAGCCGGCCGAGGGCATCGGAGCGAGCAAAGCGGGTCAGTAGCGGCGCCGGGAGAAAAACGGTGCCGGAGCCGAGCGTCTCCCGGCCCCCTTCTGCGGGAAGGAGCGGGGCTCCCGGAGGGCGCCAGCTGGCAGGGGGCGCGGGGGAGGGGGCGGGGCGCGGGGGTGGCGGGGCGCCGGGGGTACTCACCGCTCGAGCCGCGCAGGTAGCGGAGCCCCCTTCGGCCAGGGAGAGCGCAGGCAGCCCCGGGCGGCTTCGCTCCTCCCGCTGCCCGGCCGGCGCCGAGAGACGTCACGCGCACCGAGGAGGAGGAGGAGGAGAGGACGGGCGCCCCGCCCACTCCCAGCCCGGGGGACTCGCGCGGCGGCGGGCGCTGGGCTGGCCCTGCCGGGACGGGGAGGGACGCCGCCAAAGCCTCGCTCCCCGCAGCCTCCCTCGCGGGCCCCGCAGCTGGCCCAGGCCGCCTGGAGGCTCTTGCGGTCCCGCCGGTCTCCGCGCGTGGCTGACCCCCTCCCGGGAGCCCACCCCAGCGAGGCCGAGGGCGAAGCTAGCAAGGGGGCCTCGCGAGGCCGGAGGGGGAGCGGCGCCCTTCTCGCGGCCCAGGCCGGTCGGGCGCAGACGGGCTCGCTGGGCCGATCCCCGCTCTTCCGCGTAGGGGGCAGAAGAAGGGGCGGCTTCAGGCGGCGCCCGCATCGCGACGGGGGTGGCCAAAGCGCCCGGCCCGACGACAGACACGATCCGGGAAGGCGACAGAATCGCGGTGCTGCGAAGGCTGCGCCGCCTTTTACGGTTGCGGGCGGCAGCGGAGGAGGAAGCGGGCCGGACAGGCGCCCCGGCGCAGACCGTCGAGAGCGCTTCTCCCGGGCAGAGGCGAGGCGCCGGGAACATCGCCGCCCCCCCTCCTCCTCCTCCTCCTCTCCCGGCCCGCAGGCGAGGAGGCGCCCCCCTCCCAGGATCGGGCCCCCCAACTCCAGGGCTGAAACCACCCAGAGCCACGCCCACCTGTCACGTGCCCTCGCGGACTGCAACCTGTCGGCTCTGGGAAATGTAGTTTTCAGAGGCAAGACGAGCTCCTCGCGAAGGAACTACATCTCCCACAATGCCCCGGGAGCTTCACCTTGGGGTGCAGGAGTGCGGTCCCCAAGTCGCTGAGGTGCAGATCGGTGGTGCGGCGACGCCCGGAGGATGCCCGCGTCCCCCCCCCCCACCGCCCTGCGTGGGTGTTTTGGATTCTTTAGAGTGGGACTTCGCTG